ACTAAAGACCTTGGCAAATTGAAGTATTTTCTAGGTATTGAGGTTGCTCAATCTAGATGAGGTATGTTATTTCTCAACGCAAGTATGCCTTAGACATTCTTGAGGAGACAGGAATGATGGGATGTAGACCTATTGACACTCCTATGGATCCGATGTTAAACTCCTTCCTGGACAGGGGGAGCCACTTAGTAATCCTGAAAGGTATAGACGGCTTGTTGGAAAGTTGAATTATCTCACAGTGACTAGACCTGACATCTCTTTTCCAGTGAGTGTTGTAAGTCAGTTTATGACTTCCCCTTGTGATAGTCATTGGGAAGCAGTTGTTCGTTTCTGCGATATATAAAGTCAGCTCCCTGTAAAGGACTACTCTTTGAGGATCAAGGCCATGAGCATATCATTGGATATACAGACGCTGATTGGGCAGGATCACCCTCTGACAGACGTTCGACATCCGGATATTGTGTTTTAGTAGAAATAATTTGGTGTCGTGGAAGAGTAAGAAACAGAATGTGGTTGCTCGATCTAGTACAGAATCAGAATATCGAGCAATGGCGACAGCAACTTGTGAGCTAGTTTGGATCAAACAGTTGCTGGGAGAACTAAAATTTGGCAAAGTTGATCAGATGGAACTTGTGTGTGATAATCAAGCGGCTCTTCATATCGCATCAAATCCAGTGTTTCATGAAGGACTAAGCACATTGAGATTGACTGTCACTTTGTCAGAGAAAAGATACTCTCGGGAGATATTGTTACGAAATTTGTGAAGTTAAATGATCAGCTTGAAGATATCTTCACCAAGTCCCTCACATGTCCTCGTATTAATTACATCTGTAACAAGCTAGGTACATATGATTTGTATGCACCAGCTTGAGGGGGAGTGTTAGAATAGAAATAAGTATTTCCTACTTAGAATAGGAATAGGAATAGAAATAAGAATAGGAATCCTAATTGGAAAAGGATTCCAATGTAGTGTCTATAAATAGGGTCTCAATGTAACTATTTAGATACACAATTCAATAATATTTTTCGTATATATTTCTCACAGTAATCACATCTCCCCAATTCTTCCTCGATCTACCTCTACCTTCCTCAAACCTATCATTGTCAACCTCTCGCACCTCGTCACTAGGGCATTTGTGTTCCTCCTCTTCGAATGCTCGAACAATCTTGGCCTTGTTTCCCGCATCTTGTCCACCATTGAAGCCTACTCCCACCAGGCCTCATATATCTTCGTTTCTAATCTTGTCTCTTCTAATGTGCCCACACATCCATTTAAGCATCCTCATTTATGTTACCTTCAACTTCTGAGGATGCGAGTTCTTGACTAACCAACACTCCGACCAATACAACATAGTTGGTTTAACAACCGCTCCATGGGACTTACCTTTCTTAATCTTTCTTTTAGTTAGTTCAATGTAAATTATGGGTTTCAAATAAAAGCAAGCTACAAGTTGGTGTTTTTCGTCGTATGAACTTTTAAATTGTGAACTTTGTCTATTAATGTTTTTCCTCATTGTTTCCTTCTATTATTGTCCAAGAACAATCAAGTTATAAATGACTGCATAAAACCAAGAAAAACACCTAATATGCATAATTATAGAAGATTCTCTTCAAGATTAAACAATTCCATCAAATTGGATAATGATTAAATGTGTTATAACATTTAGTAATACTAGGAATATCAATAAATCTGATTATTATAATTACTCGGGAGAATCTTTAAGAAAAAACCAACTCAAACTGATCACAGACACCCCATCATAAGAGCATGTGCTAGCTAATGCATCCTTACTATGATAAAGAAATCATAGCCCAAAAATATTCGTAGGAGTTTAAGTTTTCCAAATGGTTGATATCTAGGAGATTGGGAACTCATAATATCCCACAAGAAGCATCACAAAAGAAATGTATGGCACACTTTTTCTTTCTGATAACTGTATGCATCTACAGTCAACCATTAGGACCAACTGCAGCATTCGAAGTTCGGGACTAATGGGCTCAGCCCTCTACTACTCTCCAATTAAATGTTAGGCTTAGTTCACATGGTATAGAGGTCGAACCTAGACCTAGGTCACAAGTTCCTCGGCCTTTGTCACCTGAACTAAGCATGGGAGCAGTTGTACATCATACCTCTACATTCAAAAACTAAAATAATCCTCAAATTCAGTAGAGGGCTTCTGCGAATAGCATTTGACTAAACAATGGAGCCACCATTGTGCACGCAGTCTGAACTAAAGAATCTGTCAGGGTCTTCCTGTTTAATTAAAGAAATATTCTTTTAGGTTTCCTTGAAATCTCCACATCCCTCTGGTGGCTGGATATGGGATGAAATACTTTCAGATTATACAGATGGTCAACATTTCCCGTGTTAAACATTACAGAAGTGAAAATATGCTAATTTCCAATTACACATAATGCATTTCAGCAAAGAAAGAATGTAACAGTAGAATATACATATTCTTACTCTAGATGTCAATGCAGTGGGGTGAGCTCTAGAAGTTCCCAGCTGACTCATCATAGTTTTGCGTGATTCCATCTCTAGAGAAGGAAAAAGAGGAGTGCCTGGAGGTGTTAGAAGCTTGAAACAGGAAAATAACATCTCATAATAACGCATACAGAACTGCAGATAGGATTTTAAAAGAATATCTGGGAAATCTGATTCATGAATCAACAAAATAATTCAACATCAGAGGTGCAAAGAAGCCCTTTTTGTTCTGCTTGTCAAATTTACAGAAAGGGGGTGCACCACCCTACTCCCTTTATTTATTTGAGTGCTAGATTTTGATATATGGCAGCCATTAATATTTGTACTTAAATTGCGCAGAAAACAAATACATCTACAAACTATACGTGTTTTTCTCACTGTTCATGATATTTGAATAAAAACTTGCTTTTGACATCCTTTTTTTTGGTAAAGTAATTAATGATATTAGAAAGCATCAAGAAGATGCGAAGTCACAAAGCACAATGTGCAAGAAAGCTGCTCCAAACAGAATTATATGGAGCCTAGCTTGGCAAAAACTTGAGAAACAGTCAAAAGGGGGCCCTACTACTCTACTGTACTAGAGATAGAGAACTAACAAAATCCAAAAAGTTATCCACACTGTTTACAGTGGCAAAAAAATGCCGACTAAATAAACTAACTAGACATTTGGCCTTGAGTGCGCAAAAAGAAGTTGATATTCCTTCAAAACATCTGTTGTTTCTCTCCTTCCATAGGTTCCAAAAAATTGCTGCTAGGATCATTCTCCAGATCTTTCTGATGGATTTGTCAAATCTCCACAATATCCAGCTGGCATAGGCATCCTTGATAGTGTAGGGCATTACCCATTGTAGGCCAGTCATAGAGTAGAAAAAATGCCATAGGCAGTGCAAAAAAAGGTGATTAACACTCTCATTGGTCTGCTTGCACATGACACATCTGTTGATGAGGATTACACCTTTTTTCCGGAGATTGTCTTGTGTTAGGCATGCTTCTTTCAGGGCTGTCCAGGTGAAACAAGATACTCTGAGAGGCTGCCTAGTTTACCATACATGTTTCCAAGGACATCCTTATATTTTATCACTTAAAATTTGCATCCTTAACCCTCTTAGCTATCCTCCCTTGTAACATCAAGAAATTGAATTCAGCTAGCATGTATTAAGAACAGTGTTATCAAAGGCGAAAAGCACAAAAAAGGTCTAGGGTCTGTGGGGGCTTTAAGCGCAAAGCGCAAATAAAGTGTGGGCTTTAATGAAAAAAGGCGCAAAGGGAGAAAAGAAAACAAATATATATGTTTAGTGCAAGACTAATAATTATAATCATGAATGACAAATATATATCCAAAGAAATTGAAAAAAAAATATGATAAAGTGAAATATCAATTATTTAGTATCACTTCTTCATGAGAGGCTCATTGGCAAGGAAACGTTTGCCTTAGAACCTTGATGACGACAATGAAGCGCACATAAAGCGAGGCGAAGCGCTCAACATGTTTTGAGCCTCGCTTCAGGGCTTAAGCACGCCTTTGATAACACTGATTAAGAATACTACCAGGAGAAGTATGACATCAAAGTTTAAGATGCACATATAAATTGTATTTGGAGTCTTGAGTGTCATATGTCAAACACCTAGCCTTTAACATTTAAAGAGTTCAGTAGACTTGGAGACCTGTATCGGTCTACTAGACACAAGTAGGGCACTATCTCATAATTTTCTGCCTATCCTCAGGGAGCATAACAAGAATTTTAAAAGGATTTTATTAAGTCTCTTATGATAAATGAAACGTATGACCTACCAAATCTTCAAGTGCCTATTATTCGACAAAGTCCTCAATTGAGAGGAGGAGGAACTTCCAGCTAGATTTTTAGCATGGTGTTTTAAGTTTCTTGGCA